AATATAAACTTGCAAATTAATTAAGTATTGTAGAACTAAAAAGATGCCATAGCATCTACAATAGCTTTGGCTCAGACAGTGAACAGTTTATATCTTTGATGGTAAAACCTCAATATTTCTTGTTTCAACCTTTGTCATTTTTCCTGAATTCAAATTCACAAACATTCAAGTCAAAAGAGTCGGGCATTGGCAAAATCACCCTGAAATATTTTGCCTGACATGATCATTCTGAAAGCGGATCTGAACCAGGTGTAAAAGAAGGCATAGATAAAGGGATTCAGCATTGAATTGGACAACGTGAGCCAGTTTAGAGCCTCGATCACAGCAATCGGTGTCACACTGTATGTTAAAGGCTGAAAGATGATACAGAGAAAGTAAGGAGTCCAGCATAAGAGAAAAACTCCCATAACAGTAGCCAGAGTTTTAGTGGCCTTCCTCTCCATCTTACTGATGCCGGCTCCAGACTTTGTGCTCTGACACGCTGTGCTCTGCTGGATGCTGTAAGCCTGTCTCTGTGCAACAAGGAAAATCTTCAGGTAGATACACAGCATTATAATGACCGGGATGTAAAAGGAGAAAATACAAGCCAGCGTGGTTGATATCAGAGCATCAATTAAACAACTTTCCTCACATTTTCCTTGATTAAAACCTGCAATTATGAGGCCAATTCCAATCAGGGCAGCGATACCCCAGCTCACGAGGATCATGATCGCGATGACGCGATTGTTTATTTTAGTTTTGTACCTGAGCGGCTGACAAACTGCGTAGTATCTGTCTATAGAAATACAACACAAGTTCAGAATAGAAGCTGTGCTCAGCGTGACATCAAAGCTGCCTCGTACTTTGCAAAACAAACCTTCATGATACCAACATGAGGTCACAGTGAACGCCATGCTGAAGGGAAAAACTAAAACTCCTACAAGTAGGTCGGCCACGGCCAGAGAGAGGATCAGGTAGTTAGTGGGAGTGTGGAGCTGTTTGAAGTAAACAATAGAGATTATAACGAGGAGGTTTCCACATATTGTGACAACAGACAATGAACCAAGGAAAATGTATAATACAACACATATTATCGAAGGGTTGCTTGTAAATGTGTATGTGACATTATCTGATTCATAGCAAAGATGTATGTCGTTAACAGCGCCCGTCTCGTTGATAGTCCAGTCTGCCTCCATGTGTCTGGATTTCTGTAATTTAGTTTTCCATTAATTATCAAATACAATGAGGGAACATCTTAAATACTTGAACATTTACATCAGCATATATAACCAGAATAACAAACATTTTCTTAGACAATAAAGAAGAATGGTGGTTAAAGAAGTTTCATACCTCACACCTCAAGTCAAACTACACACCAGTTTGGTCATCAGGTTGCGTACTTACTCTTACCCTGGCACTGTGCCGAAGCTGTGCATGTTATATTTAAATAATATAACCCACCTCATTACCATAATTACAAATATGTCTCAACCAATCAGATGGAGTATAGTCCATTCCATTTGTATGTGGATAAACCAGCTGTATGTTCTCTTCACCCAAAAACGAAAATGTACTTATTATCTATTATTGAGTCATTTAGTATTTATAATAATTTACAACTTTTCTGAAAAATGAAACAAAATTGTAGTGCAGTAATTTTAGTTACAGTTTTTAGTGTATGCTCACATGCCATATGCAAATTTATGTTATGCATAACCATAATACCTGCTGTCTACACTGGCCAAGAAGAATCCATGGATCAGCAAAGTTAATATGAGTCTATACATTTGTTTTTCTTTGGGTTATCTTTGTAACATGAGATATTGTTCATGAAGGAGAGACTGTCAATGGCCCAGGGGGCGTCAGTGGTACAGGTTTATGTAATCAATCTAAAACTGAAGTAAATTATAATAAACACACACTATTTGACCCTGTCTATGTACTGACTCTGAGTATAAACTATTTATTTGGAACAGCAGATATGTTTTGGCTGTTCATTATTCTATTATTTTATTTTCAGAACCTCGTGAAAATGAAATTTAACTGTAATGTTCTGCTCAAGGCAGCAAAGGGTAAATAAACCCTCATCATAATTAGATGTAACAACATGAGTTTTGCTTGGACAGACTTTTCTCATGCAACACCAGTAGAATAAACCAGGGTAGTGAATAAGCTGTGATGTGGTTTTGTTCAAAATTAGAACAAAACTATTTGTCTGACTCGTATTTCAACTTAAGTGAAGCAAGATGAACTTTGTGACTCTGTGAGCCTGAATATGTCAGATCATTTCCTCGGCTGAGCGATGACAAAACCTGTGTTTGATGGAGAGAAACTAAAAAGCATTGAAAAAGAAATATTACAATTTGATTGAGGCAGTGGATATACAAACATTTATTTGGTTTAGGTCTTTACAGCGTTTGATATCTCTGTATTTTAACACAGCAGTCATTGCAGTTTTAAATTTCTGTAATCATCCTGAATTATTTTTCCCAACCAGCTATAAAAGAAAGCACGGATAAATGGATTGAGCAGTAAATTCGACTGTGCGAGCCAGTGGAGTAGCTCAAGCAAAGCAAGTGGCTCTGAAAGTTTAGTGAAGGAACAAACACTCATGAGGAGAAAAAAATAAAGCTAACCATCATATCAAAAACACTCCCATGACGACAGCAAGAGTTTTAGTGGCGTTCCTCTCCATCTTCCTCTGCTCGGACACGTTGTGTTGTGGATGCTGCACGCCTAAATCCTTAGGTAGATACACAGCATCACAGTCACTGGGAGATAAAATGAGAAAATAAGTCCCATAATATTTATTTTATACAGTTTATTACATCATTTATACAAATGGGACTTGTATTCATTTTCACATCTCATGTACATGATGAGTTCAAAAATCTACATAGAAGTACATATGGTTTTCAGATGATTTTATTATGCAGTTTTTACTGTGTGTAGTATTGTGTGTACCATGTAYACATMCTTTGCAAACATATATTTATAAACGTTTGTTTTACACATATTTATTTGGGTGTATCGGTCACTGTACATTATCATTCCAGACTTCTCTCTATCTGAAAAGAATATCAGTGCAGTTTTGAGTTTGTAAAATCACCTTGAATCAATTTTCCTGAAATGATCATTCTGAAAGCTGATCGGAACCAGCTGTAAAAGAATGCATAGATAAACGGATTTAACATGGAATTAGACAGAGCCAGCCAGTTAAGTAGTTCAATCAGAGGAAGTGGCACGTAGACGTGACTGAAGGACATAACAGTGGTACAGAGGAAGAAAGGAAGCCAACACAACAGAAACACTCCCATGACAATAGCCAGAGTTTTAGTGGCCTTCCTCTCCATCTTACTGACGGCTGCTCCAGACTTTGTGCTCTGGCACGTTGTGTTGTGGATGCTGCGCGCCTGTCTCTGTGCGACACTGAAAATCTTCATGTAGATGCAGAGCATTACAACCACTGGGAGGTAAAAGGAGAAAATAAGTCCCATAATGTTTGCCAACACAACATCGGTTATACACATTTCAGTACAGTCTTCTTGGTTTATTCCTGCAACGATGAAGCTAAGCCCGATTAGGACAGAAAGACCCCAGCTCACCAGGATCATGGTCACAACAACATGGTCATTTATCTTAGTTTTATAGCTCAGAGGCTGACACACTGCATAGTATCGGTCAATGGAAATACAACACAAGTTCAGAATAGAGGATGTGCACAGCGACACATCAAAGGTGCCACGGACTTTGCAAAACAAGTCATCGTAGAAACGACAAAAGGTTATAGAAAATTCAATGGTGAGTGGAAATACCACAACACCAACAAGCAGGTCGGCCACAGCCAGAGAGAGGATGAGAGAGTTAGTGGGTGTGTGGAGCTGTTTGAAGTAAATGATGGAGATTATGACAAGGAGGTTTCCACAAATAGTGACAACAGATAATGAGCCAAGAAAAACATGAAACAATACACATACTGCAGAGGGATAGCTTGTCAGCACATGATACAGATCTATCTTATAGCAGGGATGAATCTCAGTAAAAACATTAGACCTGTTGAATCTTATATCCATTTCCATGCTGGTGCTTTCCTGCAGTTCAACATGAAAAATTATGTTGATAAATCTTTAGTCTCTTTTTGACAAAATAGAAGTTCAGAATGGATATCAATGCACTATTTAAGCATTAATACTGACGGGCATCCCACCAGTCCTAATGTGGCACTCTGCAGGACTGAGAGTTCATATTTATAATTTCATACCTCATTACTATGGTCTGTACAGAAGTTGGCCAATCAGGTTTAAGATGACATAAGAATAAAGATAWCTGTGYGTGTGCATGTGTTTGTGTGTGTGYGCGCGCAGGAAGACTAGATGGAAAAAGCATCATGTTAATTGGAAGGTAATCTGTAAACAAAAATGTTTGTAGGTAGAACATCAACTTAACATTTTTCAATATTTCATAGTTGAACCTTGAAGTTRTAAAGCTGGTGGCTTGTGAACACGTGTGAAGCACCCTCCTACTGTATGTAGGCACATGATATTATCTTGCATGAATTGCCTTTAAGGGAGACYTATTTTGGTTTTTCAGYCTTTCCCAGTCCTCTAGTCGGCTGTATATGGTTTTTGTGAATGTATATGTTGTGCATGGACCATCTCTCCCACAGTAAACACTTTTCTTGAGGCTGCTGAAACACCTCATCTTCAATTTTTTGGATACTGCCGCCGTGTATCTATAGCCCAATCACATTTCACCCCTATCTCTTAGCCCTTCCCCTCTGTGCATTCCTGTGTAGGGGAAGGCTAGCTTTCCAGATCCTTGTTGGGATGAAGGGGTAGGGCAAAACTTTTGGTCTCATCTGTTTACATTGACAACTACTGATGATATGTCAGGACTACTTCTTGAAGGGCTGTCCCAATTCGTAGGGGAAGATTTCAACCACTACCCTTTCTCTGCTTCAAGGAGCAAGATAATCCTCGTAAACAAGGGGTAGGGGTAGGAAGAAGGAGTAAAATCACGTTATCAACATTTAGCCATTTATCCTTCGCATAAATCCCTGGAGACCAGCTGACTTTCGATGAAAGGATTTTCCCCTGAAAACTTGTACCAAGAAATGTTCACCTAGAGTCATAGTACCATTGCCTCTYCTTTAGATGGAGCTGTCTCCATATAAAAGATCGGCAATAGTACTATGGGTGCCATCTTTCATCTATGCATATCCAAGCAAAATTGGTATTGTATGTTGAAATATCCTTCACTGAATAGATATTGAATAAAA